TTCACTCCAAGTGGCTGTGGAAAAGGATTTTCATCCACTGCCATCTTCTTCTTATCGTCGAACGTAATTCGTCCTGATTCAATGGCATCCTGCAATACATGGCGAAAAACCAAGCAATTGTTAGTCAAATGTGACCATGCATTATGCCACTTACAATATTTTTTACCCTTAATTTGTTCAGGGTTTGGCAATTTATGCTTATTGCTCAACTTTATCTGCTTATCCCTATATAATTTATCAAATATAAGGTCAACTTTGGTTACATCGAACGAGAACATTCTAGCCTTTATGTTTCCATCTTTCATGGGCTCATCTTTGTCCGATGGTCTAGGCTTAGCCATTATAGGACAAGTATACGTGTCTCCATTGACCAATTCGGCCAAACATATTTCGGCTTGATCGTATGACTCGTCACTGATGGTATGAACGTCAAAGTTTGGGTTTTTGTAATAAGTCCCTTTACTAGAATTTTTCATCTGTTCTTTTTCTCTTATCAGTCGTTCATACCTAATCACATTCGCACTCAACTGAAAAAGGTCAGAAAATTCCTTGTCTTGGAATTTCTTTTTTAAATCAAAGCTCAAACAGCCCTGAGCGATTTTGACAAATTCCTTTTCGGGCAGAGGTACAAAACACTTGCTTCTTGCTGTCTTGAACCTTTAGAGAAAATTTTCTGCCCATTCGTTTGGCATTTGACGTAGATTTGCCAAATCAGCCAAAGTGACTTCAGACTCAGTTTTATAAAACTGAGCGTGGAATAATTGTTCCAATTGTTGCCATGTTTGAACAGAGTTCGCTGGCAAATTGATGAACCAGGAGAAAGCTACTCTTGTTAATGAACTAGAGAAAAGCCTCATTTTATGGTAATCAGTTATATCACCACTTTGTAATGTGAATCGCCCTATGTGTTCTAGAGTAGACACCTTTCCTAATCCGGTAAACAGTGAGAATTCTGGTACTTTATACCCTCTAGGCCATGGATATGCTTGGTCTACCCAATCAGGATATGGCTTTGTGTAAGTCGGCCTAATGACAGGACGCACCCCAAAAGCCATATGATCCTGTACGATTTTCATAATCTGATTCCTCAACATGACGTTGGGGTCATATGGAATTTCTACAGGTTGGTTAACCAGTTGATTTGTATGAGGCTTGATGTTTGGTCCTTGATTGGCAACAAAGTTACCATAATTAGGGTCATTACCATTAGCCTGAACATCTATTCCCTCATTAACATGTGGGATATTCTGTCTATTGTTTAGGACATTATCTCTTACATTTGGATTACCCCCCAAGTTAGGCGTACCACTACCATTGTTCTGATTTGGCACTGCACCACCCCCTTGGTTTGAAGTAGAGGGACCAAAAAGTGGTTCTATCCTTTGATTCGGATTTAGGGCTGAGGGATTATGTCCCACAATTGTCCTAATTTGAAAGTGATTTACAAGAGGCATAACCGGTTGACATATTTGGCCTACTAACTTATTCATTATTTCGTTCAAAGTGTTTAGTTGTTTGGCCATGTTGTCATAATGTGCATTCCCATTTTGGGTAAATCTTTCCATATTATGAATACTTCGAAGATTTACTTGTTCAACAACATCTTGTGTGAGTTCTCCAAGTAGTGCACGCATGGTTCGAGGACTCAACTCTGTCATTGGTTCGTAACGACTGTTACTGCTCTGATTTTGTCCATTTGTTCGTGGAGAGGCATGCTGCTCCTCAAATCGCTCGATCACAGACTGGACTTCTCCCTAACTTGCTGCTTCCTTATCGGATCTCTGAGCCATATTGTTTTACCTTTTGTATTTTCAACACCAAACACCACTGTCCCACTGGGCGTACCAAATTGTTTCGCGCGGATTCGTCGCTAACAATTAAAAAGGGATCAGACGATCGTGTAAGGAACAAACCTCTTGAGACAAAGTTCCAAAAAGGGGTGTTCTTTATTGGCAATGTTTTTACAATCGGAAAGTAAAAACAGAATGCCTCCAAGGGGCGCAAGCACACGAGTTACTGAAAGAAGTGTTTAAATCTAAACTAAGAAATTTAAAATTACATGTTCTCTGTTCGAGAGTTTTTTGATTTTGGGGCCCCTTGCTCTATGTCTTTTCTTCCTTTTATACTCCCTGGATGATCTCTTTGTGATCAACCACCTAAAAACTGCTTGATCGTTTTATAACTGCCCACTTTCCTCGTAATGGCCAACTTGTCATGGAACTGCCTTTTTTAACTGCTGTCATTACTCTTCGTCGTTCAATTGTTTTCGATTGAATTCCTTGAATCGTGGAACGTGATAGGGCTGCTTAATAACTGCTTTGATAACTGCGCTTCTTGATAACCACAACATTTCATGTTTGCTAAGACCATGGGCGACTCGAAGGTTTGGGCGAGGATAGAGTAGCAGTTCTGGGCGACTGCATGGCACTCCATTCGCTCAGATCCTGGGCGATGGTGTTACCGCGTTCATGGGCTTCCCTATTTGGGTCTTCATCCTGAATTGTCTGATTGGACTTCATTCTTTGGGCTATCTGATTTGGGGATCCTCCAATTGGACTTCATTTCCTGGGCCGTTCGATTTGGGCTGAATTTTTATGTGTCAACAGTAATGTTTGTCGTCTTGTGCAATGTCATCTAGTTCGTAGTACCAATCGTGTCTCAAATAGTAGTATAGTCTTGATTGTATCAATTTGTCAAAATTTATAGCTCTGCATAGAACAGCCCCATAAGAGCATTTTATCTCTAAAGCTTTCCAATGGAAATACTCCTCGTATAAGTAAAATTTGACCTTGATCTTTTATCACCAACATCGAGGGCAGATCTTCTGCCACGGAACTGTGGCATTCGGATTTCATTGCTCATGCTTAAGTTCTTAACACAAAGCTGCACTTCGGTTTCGAGTTTTCGAAACTTGATATGTCTTCACAAGAACCTATCCAGTTACTCCCTTGCAGAGACTTAATGATTCCATCGAGATTCTGTTTAATTTCAAGTTCAATAAGTTTGTAATATTGAGAGTGCGTATGTGAAACTCATATGCCCATGATATGTGTCTTTTATGTAAGAAGGGGCCCCTCAAGTGCGTCTCTTCCTTCGGATATCTTACTATTTCATTGTACTCTACGCCATGCTACGTGTACACTTTCTGTGTACACATTTCTTTACACCCCTAACTTGGAGGGGGAGGGGGAGGGGGGGGCACACATAATATGTGAGGAATTGTAAGACTTTATGTACTCCGAAAAATGTACATATAGTCTTATCCTTCTATTTATTATGCATACTTGGATTCAGGTCATGCTACTCTTGGGCCAGGTTTGATTGGCCCTTTTTTTCATGGAAAATGGAATTTTTCACCAATTTTGTGTGTTTGATAGCAAAAGTTTTCCATGGAATTCGTTTTCTATCTTTTCCCCACACGTGCATTTTCCATGATTTGGTGTAAAATCAATTCTTACCAAAATAGTGAGAATTGGTTTACCATTTTTTTTTTATTTTCAGCAATGGGAACAAATTTTATCAACAATCGTAAAAAAATTTATCCCTTTAATTGACAATTTTTATAAAAAACAAAATCAAACGAATATCAAAATATAAATAGTTTTTGAATATTTTTTTCCTTGGCAATGGAAACAAATTCTAGTAACAATTGTAGAAGTAGATATCCCTTAAATTAACAATTTTCATAAAAACAAAGTCAAACGAATACCAAAAGACACTTTTATTTTAACATTTTCCAGGTGAAAAATTATATCAATCAAACACTATTTATTGACAATTCTCACTGAAACAAATTCTAGACAACTCAATTCACTTCAATTCGTTTTCTTTCCACCCAAATTCCAACTTTACAATCAAACGGACCCTTATAATTATTCCTATAGTTTTTATGTCTTCTGCGTCAAAGACTAAGCCTTTATTTGACAATTATTCTTTCAAAACTCTTTTTTTCTCAACCATTTTCAACCTCACATTTTCACAATAAAATATACTTTATGAAAATTCAAAATTTTTCCATATTTTTTAATCACACTTTATTCAAATATTTACTATTAAAAAACTCATTCTTTACGGAAAAAATCTGTCAAACAGGGGCCAAATATAATTTCCGGACAAAACCCTTGTATCATCACTTCATGAGGTGTCATGCTGGCAGAAGGGTCGTGGGCCCTAGTTCTCGTGGATTCTTGACTTGGCCACCACTTCTGATGTTACTGATTTGCATGCTAATTTTGTTCTTAATCAGAATGTTTTAATTCATTTGACATTTACGAAGAAATTGATGCTACAATCATTATTTGGCAGAATGAGGCTTATCGTTCACCACCAAATCTCGGTAAGCGATGTGCTGCACACGCTGTCTTCCATTCAGCTAATATTTACAGAAACTTTGTCTTAATGAATAATTTTGCTATAAGTCTGGAGTTTTATGTGTCAATTTTTAGAAACCGAACAGGATAAGTTTTAAGTAATAACAAGTTCCGAAAGACAAAAAAGAAAAAAAAAGAAAAAAAAAAAAGAAAGGTCGAGCAAAACTTTATATCTAGCTAGCGATTTGCTTACTTAGACATGACTATCCACTTCAGAAATGTCCAGTCAAAGAATCCCAAAGAAAGCTCTTTCCTGGGCATAATTTCTCAAGTAATCTCTTAAGTTTCCCGTCTTCTGCTTTCTTTTGAAGCTCAACCCCAAACGACTCTGGCATTCGCTGAAGGGATGATCAAAGTACAGGAAAAGAGTGAATAACTTGGTCATTAGGTGAAAAAAATAATAATAATAATAATAAAGTAAATCTACCTTTGCGAGCCAAATAATATAGGTAGCAGAATAGATTGCTTGTGTGTGATAGTCCTCAAAGTCATTATCAGGGATAATTGTGCAAGCCTCGTAAAGTTTTAATTCATTATCCACAAACTTGCTACTGTCACAAATATCAGTACTTTCGCAGCACAAAGGGCCGGATATGTTTAGATCACACGTTGCAAAATATTTCATCCAGAGCACTGAGAGGAAGCGCCGATGAAGCCATAAAGCCTTGAGAAAAACAAATACCACAGAACAAGCATAAGGACATACTTGATGCTCATTTTTGCACAGAACTAGAGTATAATGGACAAGGTTAGCATTTTTTACATTTTTAATACCATCCACTATGTCCCATCCATATTATGAAGCCAGTGGATAAGTTACAAATAATGTCACAACAGAAGCACAATACCAAAAAAGTGGGATCAAATTACGAGTCTTAGATCTTTCTAATATCCATATTAATTCAATTATATGATTTTGCGGTCATTGAAGTAATTTATTTGCAGAAAAAAAACTGCACTGATTACATACCTCTCTTCCTACATACCGCATTATCAACGACCCAACCCAGTCAAGCTCCTCCTGTCACGCATCCATTGCCAAAAGTCAAAGATCATAAGCTCTAAGAAAATAGAAAGGCAGAAAGAACACAAGTTTTTTAGAAGAAGTACAAGCCATCTAACATTTAAATATTTTATTTAATTATTATATTAAGAACATGCCACCTGACATTTAAATATCTGACTTAATTACAAATGAGATATTTGAAAATATTAGACTATTACCAAGACAAAAGGTCTATAAAGTGCTAAGATAACCCTTTCCTATTTAACTTTATTTTTATCTCTTCTTCGTGGAGGGACAATATATGTTATTGCAGCTTCCTTTATAGCCAAACTCTGGATGCCCAAGTATAGACAAATGATAACCAAACACTCAAGCAAACCAAAGCTTAAGGCCACCGCAATATTTAAATTAGACCAGTAAAAATTTGTTCAGGTATGCCTTGCAGAACAAATTCTTCAGTTACTCTGAGTTGCAGAATCTAAGAACTGATAATGGGAAATTAGAAATCCCCAACACTAAATGCTCCAAACTTGATCTATCAGTTGAACAATCAGCACACTTACGAGGCCTACGTTGTTGGACTATCCATCAGTTAATACACAGTACATTTTTAAATTCCCAGGCCCAACAATTGCAAAATTCATGAATCGCAGGATGGGAGTTTCTCCCTAATTGAAAAGTAAACTTCTGTCTCCAAATTTTATAATTGATAATAAATTCAACTTATGAAATCAAACACATGACACAGATGAAAATAAATGTGCTAGGCAATTATTTCACATTTTAGATGAAAGATAACAAATCTATAGTCAAACCTTTAACAATTGTTGAAGTTCTGCAGAAGATAAACTGTTTGGATCCTGACTATGCTGTAAATCCTCTACCATTCTGAGCAACAACCGCTGCCAATGAAAAAAGAGACCTTCATGGTAAGTTTTCTTCTACAAGCCACTTCCTCTACATAGCTGTAAGCCTATAAAATAATTGCCATAAACCATGTGATTTTTTTCAATTAATAATACTCCTCCCTAGGTGCAGAACATGATCAGGAGAGAAAAATTTACTTAATTGAGCAGACAAAGACGCCATATGGTTCTAAATATAAGAAGGCATACTATGAGGCGCACATACGAACACAGGATGAACACATAATGTTTCAAAAGTAGAACACAGGCACAGTTGGGACACGTTTACCAGAATGCTTTAAAGTTATGCATATTATATCATATATTTTCTTCTATACTTCTTCATTTTTCAATAAAAATCAATACATTTTTTAGCTATGTTTTGAATTTTGCAAGAGAAATCTTTTGAATTAAAAGACTGGCTATTTATTGTATTAAGATAACTTCAGACTGCAATATCTATTACTAGTTCAATGAGTCACTAAAAATCCCATTACCAACTCTTCCCGAAATTCAGACCATTTGTTCAAAGTTCATCCTGGTGCTTTTGCATTTACCCTTATAACTTCCCAAACTCCACTCGCATCTTTATAATTTTTTAGAAAGAGAACACTTCAGGGGAGCCTAAAATTATTAATGATGCAAGGAAATAATGTTATTGCACTTTTACTGGTTAAACATCCATAATCAGGTAAGAGCCACAAACATTCACAACTTGCAGAGCTCCATAATATTTGCCTCTTTTGATGACAGTTCATTTACAACCATAAGTAATCAGGTAAATCATAAATGTACTAAAAAGCATAAAACTTACAGTGCGGTAATGAAAACAAGAGTTATCAGCAACATGAAGCCCAGCCCAATCTCGAGACTTCTGCAACTCGTGGAGCACCTGGGTACGAGAACTAACATTTATTCAGAAAAACAAAAACTACATATGGCCACATGGAAACTGTTCTTCAGGACAAATAAAAATGAGACATGAATATGAGAACTGGAGTTGAAAACTGTTCTTGCTATATTGCAAAACATAAGATAGCTTCTCAAACCAAAAATTTTCTCCTTGTTTCACAATTGCAACGCAATTAGATAGATGAACTAAAACAACTTTGCTAATGAATCTTAACTTTCATCAGACCTGTGCTTCTGGCATGTAGGAAACTAACCAACAGCGATGATTCCAAGCACGATAATTCATTTTTGAGTTCTGCAACAAAAGAACCATATTAGTACCCTTCTGAATCACTTAAGATATTCAGTTTCTCAGTATATTCCATTTATGCTCTTGATGCAGGCAATATACAGGATCTTCTATTAGAAAATGACATGTCCAAGTTATGAAATTCATCGAGGGTAGATGTTTTGGAGTTTAAACAATTTAATTCTTCAAGTTTTGATCATCCCATGCTAGCACAGTCCTGTCCACACAAGTTTAATGAGTATTATGACAGTAGGACTAGAATTATCAGTGATACATGTTTCTAATATACATGGAAAGCTAGAGTTGCATGAAACTGATAGCAGACAGACTTGATGAAAAATAAAAGAGTTTCAACAAGAGTTCAAAGATGTATGACGAGGAGGTTCACATTAGCAAACAGTCCAAGAGGCAGTTAGAATTGAGACTTGGAAAAAAGTTACGAGATGAGCGCACTTGAAAAAAGTAAAACGTGAGAGAGAGTAGAATGTCCTAAAGGAAAGAAATCTGTTAATGTAAGTGAATATTCACTGTAAGATAAAGCTATGAGACTTCAGAAAGGTTGGCTTGAGCCAAAGGCTATAGTGAGATACATGGAATAGATTAGGAGAACTTCTCTCCATTAGGAAAGACAAATGCTACACATATATTGCTATCTTCGGCAGATAAACTTGGTCCTTCCAGTAATTTGATGTTCAGAATGCCTTTTGCACAATGATAAAGAAAAGCCTACATTGAGGCACCTACGTTTTCTGTGTCAACAACGTAACACCATGCAACAACAAAAAACTCTATAGTACGGACACTTCAACTAGGGTAGCACGTCCGTGTCGACACTTTCGATATTGACACTCCTTGAACACTCTACCATAAATATTTTTCTTTTTTATTAAAAATATTATATATTTTTAACTCCAAGTTATTAGTAAATAACAAATAAATACCCATACTAAAAGATTTCAACGAGAAAAATTAATAACAAGTATAAAAAAAATAAAATTTATACTATATAAATGAAGAATTTTAAAAGAAATAATCAATGTGTCAAGTCATTACTTTTTTAGACATTCGCGTGTCGACGTATCCGACACATATCGTGTCGGACACACGTGTCTGTATTAGTGCATCATAGACAAAAAACTATACCTTATCCTCAATTCCCAAAAACATAACATATCACGCAAAAACACATGGTAACCAACAAAAAGTTGGGAGATACCCAAAACCTGAAAAATAAAATGCATAAACAACAAGAAAAACTGAACAATTTATAGATAAGGAAATTTAATTTACTACCATGTGGTATCACAAATTTTTAAATGGATTGAGTAAACCAAAACTCCTACATTTGAAGCACATAAAACCAAAACTCCTACATTTGAAGCACATAAATAGCACCAAAATGGGTTTTAATATATCAAAAGATGTTACATCATACCTGTGATGGTCATGCTCCATGTCCAGGAAATTAAAATAAATTCAATCCATAAGACACGGAAAATGCTCAAAGCCCAAGCTCATGAAAGCATAACAGATGAACAAAATATACAAATATCAAAAATCAAATATGTTGACTCAAAAATGAAAATCTAGAGTAACGAACAGAATATGAATCATATCTCCAAGACAAAAGATTGAAGGAGAAAGGTTGACAATGAGTCGAAAGATTAAACCATGATACGTCACCTTAAATAATGGAGGTAATTATATAGGAATAGACATAAAGAGCAAGTAATGCAGCAGATTTCTTATTATAAATATTGGATGCGATGAAATTTTAAGCTATTTGAACCCAATTACATTGCAATCCTGGACCAGAATTTAACCTCAGCTAACATTTTCACCAGCTCAGATTCCCTTCCCACAATCTCTAACAGATTTGGACACTTTCCTGCTATCATCTTGATCACCCACCTCCTATCAACAATAGACATAATTAACACAGATTCAGCATGTTATGAGAATAAAAGAAGAGTAAGAATCGAATCAGGATGTCAGCATACAGTCATATATATACATCGATACTTAGATATGTTAGCGTGCGTCTGTGGTAGAGACAAAAGGCGGAAAGAACGTAGTTATTGTGGGTTTAGGAGGCAATGAAAGTATATTCTAAATATTAAAACAAAAAACGAGTTTTCATCCTTCTCTCACTGTAGCGTCATGCACATAGTAACATAGCTACTTGACCTACATAATATAGGGAACTGCCGATGTGCTCTACCTGTGGCTCCATGCACGTTCACTTTTAGGTGAATAGGAGAGAACAAGAGAAGATAAAAGCATTTCATCCATAAACATCTGAAATTGCTGCTTCTTTGACAGGACATGCTTCCTGCAAGTTGAAAACCAACATGCAATCAAAAGCCGAAGGAATATTAATTAGGTTCTGAAAAAAGTTTAAATGAAACAAATAACAAAATATTCAGCTTCTTCCTGCATCACTTGAGCTCCAGGAAGGGAATAAGCAGTTGGACTAGATCTTCAATGCGTTCACAAATTAAGCAGCCATAAATATTATTAAGATGTTGCTGGGACACCTCGTTAAAAAAAATAATAATAAAAATAAAAATAAAAATGATGTTGACAGTCTAAGAACTGCAAATAAAATTAAGTCCATAAAATAACTCCAAAAAAGTAGAGGCCTGAATTTTTTAAAGCTATCACGGCCACCTGATTCACCAATTAGTTACACACTATTCTGATTACTTAAGTTGTGAAACCTCCATAATCCCCTGGTACATCAAACGAGGTATTCTTAACTAATATTTTCATTCTCAAATGGATCTTTTGCAATCAGTTCTAAGTGCAATTTGTAAAACACTGGTTGTTTTACACAAGCTGTCATACCATGGAACTGTCATTTCCTTAAAAAATGGAGAAGAAGAAAAGAACTAAAACTGTAAATTATTTTCCCCAAAATGGTGGTAACCAGTAGAGCAAAGAGAACCTTGGACTGCCGTAAATGTGAAACTTTATTTCTTTTCATAAATAAATAAAAAATGTGAATGTTGAAGACACAATCAATATATGCCACATAGCTCACCTGGATTCTTTCACCAAGTCATTACAGAGCTGAAGGTTGAATTACTGACCAAGACTCTAGTAATTTAGAAATGATATCTATTGCTAACACAATTAGAAAATAATCACATATAAATGACATTCATAAGTTACTTGGCGGTGTAAATTTACACAGGCATCAGCATAAATCAAACGGAAAACCAAAGACCTTGAGTTCCATGCCGTGCCAAAATCAGAGCTTAGCAGAAGAAGCGCCCTGCTGTGTTTCATTACTTGACTTTCAACAATGTCGTGCGAAGTTGCAATTTCAGATTGATCTTTCTGTCCATCCAAGTAGCTTAACATTGTATACTGCTTGTGAGCTTCCATAAATGCATCTTTAGCTGCAGTATATAGTGGAAGTATAACCAAGGTTGAGATACCCAACTTATGTTCCCTATTCCAAAAGAACATATCAGAAGCAAATTCTGATGCGTGGAATAGAGTGATTCCATCTGCTGGCTGAGGGTCACATCGGGAAAATAAGGAAGGAACACTAGGTGCCTCTCCATTGAGTGCAGCAAACTGCGATGGATGAATAAACCCCACTTCGTCACTGTAAGCGGTAAAGATAATTGGAAGGATAAATAACATTAATATTATCAATATGATATGCTAGAACCGAAATGGGCCCCAATGGGGTAGTGTAATGACTTCAAAAGAAATGATGATGATCTGTATTAAGATACATATTGATTGCAGAAATTACAATTGGGTCGAGATATAAAACCACCTATGAAGAGTCTAAGCCCTTGTTTGGTAAAAATTAAAATTAAAATTTTAATCTAAGTCAAAATCAACAACTAATTTAAACCACACATTATGTGGAACCCATAACTTTTTAACCACACATTTCATCAACTTTTATCAAAATCTACTAAAAATATGATTAATCCCCACCAATTAGGGCCTAAATATGGAATCATTTGTCTAGCAATGTAATGATCAAAATGTCTTTGACATGGATTATTTACTTGCTTGTTAAAGTAGAATTGAGCATATATACGTAAATATGACAATAGAGGGGGAGAAATCCGCTATATTCCATAAAAGTTATTGAAATCACGTGATGTTGCTCTATTTGATTTATTTTCAATACAATTAAGCTTCCCAAAAATTGGTAGATTTTCATGAAGTTGATTACATTTTAACTTACATGAGAGGGTCGGATTCCAATATATTTTCCAGTTGGCTCAGGAGATCAGTCTTCACAGGAATAAATGGTGTGGAGCTTCTAGATTGCCTTTCTAATGATTGAGTATTACTATTAGAAGTGGCCATCCTACACAAGGAAATTATAGTGAGAACAATTTTAAATCTGTTGCTGCACAATTATAATTTAATAGTGGTGGACGCGGATATTTTAAGTTAGGGGGGTACAATCGAACTTGCAAAAAATTAAGCACAAAGATTTCACAATTGCCTAATAATACTACCACTATTTTTATTTTTTATTGAAGTTCCCACAAACCACAATTCTCTAATAATAATGTTGCCTCTATCTCACAAATCACAATATAAATCCCACAAATCACAAGGATGATCCATTTCAAATTCACAAATTACAAATATATTTCCATATAATTATGCTACATGTACATAATAAGTTTACATAATGGTCATGACGTGGTGAAATATGATTGGTCAGAATTTCTTCAAACAAATTAATAATAAATAAATAAATAAATAAAAAACAACTTTTTCACTCTCTTTTTGACCCTCATATAAACCATTATGCAACTGCACATGTACAAGTAGTATTATTCACTTTCATATTCCAAATAATGAGATATAGGCATACAGTAACAGACTAACAGTCAACAAAAGTAGAGGCCAAAGCAAAGCTGCAAAACTAACGGCGCGGACGGGCAGCAAAGCAAAAGCTGCAAAACTGTCATAAAACATGGATCAGTCAGACCTCAAAAGCTAGCCATTGAGGTTGGAGAACTCAAGCCTATATAAACCACACAAAAAAAGCTCATACTTCCGATGTGGGATTTAGGTGTCCATACACCACAATGGGAACCATGAGAAACCACCACGCCTCTGACTCAACGTCCATACACCCTAAGTGGTAACTGAGACCAAAAGACATGATGCCTGCTTTGAAATCATTGTTATAGAACTTGAAAGAGCTAGACCTCATAAGCTAGCCATTGAGGTTAGAGAATCCAGGTCTATATAAACCATACAAAGGAAACCCATACTTTCGATGTGGGATTTAGCTGCACATACACCCCAATGGGAACCATGACAAAAACTGATACCGATCTTTGGGCTTTGGTTTAGGGTTTGAACTTTGAATAATGAAGCGACAGCATGGCAGACCAGCAGCAATTGGAGCAGACTGGCAATCAACGGCGGGAGCTGAATTGGAAATGCAGGAGGGAGGAGGCAGGAGGATGAATTCAGTGGCGGAAGGGAAGGGAACAGAAGGGTTTTGATTTTCCAAGGGTAATGATTAATGGGTTATTTGCTTCAGTGGAATAGCCGAATGGGTTTTGGCATTTTGCAAAGGGCAACAGGAGAATAGAGAGGCTAAATCTCATATCCACATGGGTCCTTGTATTATATTATCCTCTTGGACAAAATTCATTTAAATTTTGGGCCATATTGTAAATTAATCAAATTTTTGGGTGCCTAATGAAATTAATTTTGACTGACTCATTTTCGGATAATATTTTGGTCTGGATCGTCTATTAACCAGTTGGCTGTTAACCGACGAAACAAACACAGTACTAAACACTGTTGTCTGTTCGAGTTTTGGTAATATGTACTACAATCTTTTTCGTGAACGATTATGAAAATGGAGGCATTTCCACATTTGGAGGTGTTCATCTGATGACAGTGAAGAATAATGAAGATGGGACAATGGATATTGATCAAATTGAAGCAGCTATAAGAGATCCTGCTTTTGAGATATGTTATCCAACTACTAGGCTCATTTGCTTGGAGAATTCACATGCACAGTAAGTGTAACCTTCCAGCAGAAGACTCTTTTGAACATTTTTATGCATTTTACCCTGTTTCTACGCTCGAAAGCAAACACAAACAGAACAAAAAGGAAATTTACTTGGAAATCACCGATATTTATAGCAGTTCGCTCTCAGTACTCAAGCAAAATGGATAAAGACCTTTTGCACAGATTGCTCTGGCTAGTTTTATGAGGTTTTGCATAGCATTTGGCGAGTTATTAGTTCACATACCCTATCAACATATGATCATGTCAAGCATTTGATTTGTTTCCAGCAGTTTTTTGTGCTCCTATCATACTTGCTTGAATTATTTTCAGGATGGGGGTGGGGACACTTGGATAGCTCTCTGGGTTTCGTTGGAAGATGATGTTTTTCTGTTTCTTTATTAAAGCATGTTCCCAAAAACCAGAGATCTTATAAAATTTATTTGTGGCTAAGTATGAAAAGATATGGAAACTATGGGGTTGCTTAATCTTTTGCAGAATCAGAGCTCGTGAAAGTTAGAAGAATAAAACTATGCCTGCAAAATTAAGTTAACAAATACAGTTGTTTTTTCCTGTTCTTTTCTTCTGTATGTGCATGATTTTTGCTCACCGTCTAACAATCTTCACTAGCACTTCCTGATAATGTCACGGTGAAGTATGGTAGAATGATAATGATTCCTACTATGGTAAGAAAGTAAGGAGAGAGAAAAGGTAAAGGTCGGAGGGTATCTCATTTTTCCTCTTGTTATTCAATTCGTCAAAAGTCAGATAGATTGAAGGATTGGACTGAGAAGCACAAATGACTGGTTCAAGCTTTTTACTCTCAAAGACACATCTAGTACAGGGTAAAAAACTGAAGTGTGATAATAGTAAATTCCATCATTTCTCCCTCATACCATACTAGTATATCTTTTAGACCTTTAGTTATGTGTCAATACATATTATTTGAGAGACATCTTGCTTTTGCTAGTTTTACATCTGAGGATATGAGAGACATTTTTCTTGTGCTACTTTTATGTCCGACAATAGTAGTATTTTGGTCCAAAATGTCTATGTTTCTGTGGTGTTTCAGCAGAAGATATCTGTGGTTAGGGTATTAGGTGTATTTCGTGTGTGCTTAATTTTTGTCATACATTAGAAAGGAACACCCTATGATAAGTTGATTTTTGATGAAGGTCGATTAGTTTTCTGAAATCCTTGGTTTCTAATCCCTCCAATATTTGTTGTTCACGATCTCTAGTCATCTCTATTTTCTATAGATGGTTGATCTGATTTGGTTCTCTTCCTCATGGGCAGGAGTATTGCCGCCACCGTAAGTTCATGATTGCAAATTGATGCTTTTATTGGCATCAATTTAAGGGAGGATGTCAGTAGCATATAAAAAAAGCTCATATATCAGGAAATCTATCATATTTAATAGGTTACCATTCATGAATAATTGTAATTGATTGCTACCACATTTAAAACGCCAATCACGGTTATAGTCTTGTTCTTCTAAGATTGAGATATGGTGAATAAATAAGTTTGGAGAGATTCAACAAATTTTTCAATCTTAACCGCATCTAAATCCTTGCTCTCCTCAATAGCCGTGATTTTAGGTAAGATTTTGTGTACTTGTTAGTATAGTAAGGTAGGGATGCCGTCATTGGTGGATTTAATTATGGAGTTTTAACCCCATCCTATAAATCACCCTCAATCTATAAAACATTCCACACGCATTTTATCAATGAACACAAAAACGGAAGCATGCAAATTGCAGATATTTCCAGAAATAATCAGTGAATTAAGACTAGTAGTAGACTGAAATCTAGAAATTTCAGAATGAATTATGATTACTTCATAGGGTGAAATCTATGAAAACCAAAGAATGAAAATAAGAAAATTGAAAAATGATCTAGAATGGGATCTAAAATTGATATATAGCCTTTCCAGTCTCTCTAATGCACGCGACTTGAAATGAACAGTGTTTTTTTTCCCTTTCTTTCTTATTTTACAACCACCAGTTTGAGACCTCCATATTCATCAAATAATAGAAGTTTAACTCAACAAATAGTTAACAAGTCATCCAAATTATGCCAAGGTTAGGCAACAATTACATTTCACTTAAAGATCAAAGACAGAAGTGATAAACATATAATTGATCACAGCTATTATAATAAAAACATTTGAAAACTAGCCCTTTCTAAAATAATCAAATGGTTCGCCAAAATGTCAAGTCAAAATGGATCTTAATAGACTGGATTATTCATTGTGTGAAATTCTTGCACATGGCAGGACGTTGTTTAGCAATAAATTCTATGGAATGGCAACAGGAAAAGATTGTTGAAAAGAAAAGACAGAACTTCAAATTCATCCGATCCAGTAAAGTACCCAGGCTCTCCAACTGAAATTCAGATCACTAGAAGTTTCATCAGATACAAGAGATGCAAACATAGAGATTTAAAAGGAAGTTTCTTCAAATTCCAAATTCACTATTCAGTTTATTCAAAGCAGAACTTTCATTTTGAATTTAACCCAAAGCAATTGAATGAAAATTATAGATTTGTACAGACGATCAGATCTCTGCAGGATCAACTTCAGTTTCACCAAAGCTGTTGATCCCGAAGGTGATTGGTATTCAGTTTATAAGTGTGAGGGAAAGGCTTGAGCTAGCTTTTGGGGTTTAGAGGCCGAATACCACCCAAATAAACTAGGAGAAAAAATCGCCTGATTCTGAAACCCAAAATCTAACGCGTAAAATGGAATCTCAAATCAACATTCAAATCCAATTAAGAAAAGGGGAAGTAAAAAAAGGATCATTACCTGACGATTGATTGATTTGATGAGAAATATATGCGTATGCTAGTTTTCCTTTGCTCTTTCTGTACAGATTCTAAGAATTACAAATTTACATAACGCAAATGAATAATTCCTTGAAAAGAAAATGAAAAAGTGATTGGGACAAGAATTTTATTAAAAAAGGAAAAAAAAGAAAAAGTGATTGGGACCAGAATTTTATTAAAAAAAATAATAATAAATAAATAAATAAATAAAAAAGGAGTTTTGCAGTTATAAAACCTCTGGGTTTGGGAAAACCAACGAAACGCCTGCCAAACCTCATCTGTGGGTGTTTTTTTATGGGGGATTTGATAAAAAAGCCTAGTCAAACAATGATTTTGATAAAATAACCTTCCTTCAATGTTTCTTGGTCAAATGGCCTTCATTTATAAAATACAATAAACAAATAATGTCAAATATGTAAAATACCCTCATCATGAAAAATACCCAAATACCCCTTTCAATCCAATTAAATCTCTCAATTCATCTACAAAATGCATTAACCTGTTTTCCCTGTGATTTCTTCCCTAAAATCTTGATATTCATTGTATTTTTCTTCTNTGTTCCCAAAAACCAGAGATCTTATAAAATTTATTTGTGGCTAAGTATGAAAAGATATGGAAACTATGGGGTTGCTTAATCTTCTGCAGAATCAGAGCTCATAAAAGTTAGAAGAATAAAACTATGCCTGCAAAATTAAGTTAACAAATACAGTTGTTTTTTCCTGTTCTTTTCTTCTGTATCTGCATGATTTTTGCTCACCGTCTAACAATCTTCACTAGCACTTCCTGATAATGTCACGGTGAAGTATGGTAGAATGATAATGATTCCTACTACGGTAAGAAAGTAAGGAGAGAGAAAAGGTAAAGGTCGGAGGGTATCTCATTTTTCCTCTTGTTATTCAATTTGTCGAAAGTCAGATAGATTGAAGGATTGGACTGAGAAGCACAAATGACTGGTTCAAACTTTTTACTCTCAAAGACACATCTAGTACAGGGTAAAAAACTGAAGTGTGATAATAGTAAATTCCATCATTTCTCCCTCATACCATACTAGTATATCTTTTAGACCTTTAGTTATGTGTCAATACATATTATTTGAGAGACATCTTGCTTTTGCTAGTTTTACATCTGAGGATATTAGTATATCTTTTAGACCTTTAGTCAGATGCGAATACATATTATATGAGAGACATTTTTCTTGTGCTACTTTTATGTCCGACAATAGTAGTATTTTGGTCCAAAATGTCTATGTTTCTGTGGTGTTTCAGCAGAAGATATCTGTGGTTAGGGTATTAGGTGTATTTCGTGTGTGCTTAATTTTTGTCATACATTAGAAAGGAACACCCTATGATAAGTTGATTTTTGATAAAGGTCGATTAGTTTTCTGAAATCCTTGGTTTCTAATCCCTCCAATATTTGTTGTTCACGATCTCTAGTCATCTCTATTTTCTATGGATGGTTGATCTGATTTGGTTCTCTTCCTCATGGGCAGGAGTATTGCCGCCACCGTAAGTTCATGATTGTAAATTGATGCTTTTATTGGCATCAATTTAAGGGAGAATGTCAGTAGCATATAAAAAAAGCTCATATATCAGGAAATCTATCATATTTAATAGGTTACCATTCATGAATAATTGTAATTGATAGCTACCACATTTAAAACGCCAATCACGGTTATAGTCTGGTTCTTCTAAGATTGAGATATGGTGAATAAATAAGTTTGGAGAGATTCAACAAATTCTTCAATCTTAACCGCATCCAAATCCTTGCTCTCCTCAATAGCCGTGATTTTAGGTAAGATTTTGTGTATTTGTTAGTATAGTAAGGTAGGGATGCCGTCATTGGTGGATTTAATTATGGAGTTTTAACCCCATCCTATAAATCACCCTCAATCTATAAAACATTCCACACGCATTTTATCAATGAACAGAAAAATGGAAGCATGCAAATTGCAGATATTTCCAGAAATAATCAGTGAATTAAGACTAGTAGTAGACTGAAATCTAGAAATTTCAGAATGAATTATGATTACTTCATAGGGTGAAATCTATGAAAACCAAAGAATGAAAATAAGAAAATTGAAAAATGATCTAGAATGGGATCTAAAATTAATATATAGCCTTTCCAGTCTCTCTAATGCACGCGACTTGAAATGAACAGCGTTTTTTTTTCCCCTTTCTTTCTTATTTTACAACCACCAGTTTGAGACCTCCATATTCATCAAATAATAGAAGTTTAACTCAACAAATAGTTAACAAGTCATCCAAATTATGCCAAGGTTAGGCAACAATTACATTTCACTTAAAGATCAAAGACAGAAGTGATAAACATATAATTGAACACAGCTATTATAATAAAAACATTTGAAAATTAGCCCTTTCTAAAATAATCAAATGGTTCGCCAAAATATCAAGTCAAAATGGATCTTAATAGACTGGATTATTCATTGGGTGAAATTCTTGCACATGGCAGGGCGTTGTTTAGCAATAAATTCTATGGAATGGCAACAGGAAAAGATTGTTGAAAAGAAAAGACAGAACTTCAAATTCATCAGATCCAGTAAAGTACCCAGGCTCTCCAACTGAAATTCAGATCACTAGAAGTTTCATCAGATATAAGAGATGCAAACGTAGAGATTTAAAAGGAAGTTTCTTCAAATTCCAAATTCACTATTCAGTTTATTCAAAGCAGAACTTTCATTTTGAATTTAACCCAAAGCAATTGAATGAAAATTATAGATTTGTACAGACGATCAGATCTCTGCAGGATCAACTTCAGTTTCACCAAAACTGTTGATCCCGAAGGTGATTGGTATTCAGTTTATAAGTGTGAGGGAAAGGCTTGAGCTAGCTTTTGGGGTTTAGAGGCCGAATACCACCCAAATAAACTAGGAGAAAAAATCGCCTGATTCTGAAACCCAAAATCTAACGCGAAAAATGGAATCTCAAATCAACATTCAAATCCAATTAAGAAAAGGGGAAGTAAAAAAAGGATCATTACCTGACGATTGATTGATTTGATGAGAAATATATGGGTATGCTAGTTTTCCTTTTCTCTTTCTCTACAGATTCTAAGAACTACGAATTTACATAACGCAAATGAATAATTCCTCGAAAAGAAAAAGAAAAAGTGATTGGGACAAGAATTTTATTAAAATAAAATAAAATAAAATAAAATAAAAAAGGAGTTTTTATAGTTATAAAACCTGGGGTAGTGTTTAGAATGGTTGGAAAATTGATTCTATTTTTCACAATGGCTTTTTGTGTTGGACGTATTATTTTATTCTTATTATAATTAGTTATAAGATGTTTCTTGTATCTTTATAAATTTGTTAATCAGGACCTATATCTATATTTTTCAATCTTTCAAACACTTTTAAATATTCTTTGTATCTTGATAATTCTTTAAAGATCCTAGACTGACCTTTCTTGGTTATATATTCTAGAACTAATCCTCCTGAAATTTCTTCTTGTATATCTCTATGTTTAGTTATAATATTCTCTACCTTTCTTATCTCTCTACTAGTTCCTACAAAATCAAATCTTATATTATTCTTACAATTATAATCTATTTCTCTATATATTTCTTCGATTTTTTCTTTACCAACAGGAAATATATCTTCAGATTTTTCTGCTAACTTAAATAAAAACGAAACATCTTTTTCATCTAATAATATAATATTATTATCATCATTAGTAGTGGAAGTGGATACTTATGAATTGTTCATCAGAATAATTAAAGCATAAGCATGTAAAAACAAGTAAATAGCTTACAGTAATCAAATGGAAGTAAACAGGCTTTCCCTCCGGTATGCTCTTATAGATGCTTTACATGTACTTAATCAACCTTCTAAATCAAGTAAAGGTTTAAAATGTTTTTGAAATCATTTGGGTCCACAACTGCTTCCTCAAAAGGCTTTTCAATTAAAAGTTGCATTTCTCATTCTAAAGAACTAGCCGTGTTACCACAGACGCTATTTCACAGTATCCAGAGTCTTTGTTTTCACCTCTCTCCAAACTCTTTTCAGAATTAAGTTCTTACTTGGAACGAAATTTTAAAAGATAACTCACACACAAGGTACTCCAATTTTGTTAGAAAATGCTTTTTTCCCCTAAAACCATTCATCAAAGTCGGGTACTTTAGCATGGCTAACATCCATTCAAAATGAATGTTTTGAAAATCTTTTAAAATCTCTATCTGTACTGTCGAGGAATCATGAGAATTTTAACGAAATCCTTTTATGAAAACTTTGTTGAACATGACAAACTTTACTTTGATATTCATAAATTGAAATTGTACATGCTTACAAACTATATTTACTTACCTTTGGTACTCACCTTATGAAGTTTAGAACTCCAAAGTGATTACCTTATTACATATTTTACTATCTTCAAGTTATCTAATATTTTTCTGAATACAAGTGATGTATACAGATTACAAAAGATATATCTCTAAGATGTGCTTCCTCCGAGTGTTTAAGAGATAAGTTCTTTCGAGATGTTCTCCTTCTTCCTTCTTGTCTAATTTTATAGAAGCCTTTGAGAATCTTATTTTGACAGGTGTTTTTCACTTTTCTTTGTTGGGTAGCTAAGTCATCTTATTTCCACCGAATTCTTCATTATCTTCTTGCTAGGTGGACCTCTCCATTTGAAATTATATGCCTTGTCTTTTAAGTTTTTCAGCCACTTGTGATAATTGGTGGGGAGTAGTCACAATTATGGAGATTTTTCTTGTACTATCTTCTGTTTTTTAATAGCCACAGTTTTTCTTTAATAAATCTCTTTATTAAAGTAGTGATAAAGGGCTACTTTTGTCACCATCACTCCATTTTTGAATTAAAGAATTCTGCAGGAAATTCTTCATCATTAAGGGATGCTTGACTCATATCTTCAACTACACAGTATTCACAATGGTGATCACTGTAGTTCCAAAGTAATTTGCATAATTTTTTAGCCATATCTTCTGATCCATGCATTTGATTGGAAATAATTGCAGATAATAAATGGTCGAGATAACAAATATCTTCTTCTTTGGTAGCCATCCTTGCATTGGAATATATAATATGATCTTCAAATGGATAAACTCATATTTTTTCTTTCTCAGTAATTATCTGAGTTACATGTTCAA